TGAGCCTCTTTGTGCTCAAGGCTAGCCGCACTACATGAGCCACAGCCTCACTTCTGGCTTGCTCTTAGTTTTATTAGAGATGAGTCTCAAGGGGACTTTCCTGCCCCAGGCTGGTTTCAAACTGCTCTCCTCAGATCTCAGCCTCCCGAGAGTAGTTAGGATTACAGGAGTGTTCTTCCACTGGGCGCTTGAACTCAGGGCTTCATGTTATTGCTTAGCTGCTTTTGCTACCACTTGAACCACAGTTCTACTTCCAATGTTTTGTTGGCTAATTGGAGATAAGAGTCTCTTGAAGTTTTCTCCTGAATTGGCTTTGAACTATGATCCATCATAGATCTCAGCCTTTTGCGTAGCTGGAATTATAGGTATGAACTACCAATGCCTGACTGATATTTAATTTTTACATTTATTTTTGTTGGTCATAGGTCTTGAACTCAGGGCCTGGGCGCTACCCAGGCTGGCTTTGAACTATAATCCTTAGATCTCAGCCTCCTGAGTAGCTAGGATTACAGGCATGAGCCACAGTGCCTGGCTAATTTTTTTTAAATACCAAAAAGATTCAGGGTTGCCAATAGTTGTTTTATGTTTCAGGAAAGAGAAATAAAGTTATAAATATATTATAAAACATCAAAGATACCAACAGACGTGACAACAGAACTAAGATGCTAGATGGTAACAAGCACCAGAATGCAAGCAATGATTACAAAGCACTTGAACGGACACTGGTCCACAGAAGATATATTAACAAGCCCATGAAAAGAGGCCCAACACTACTAACCATCAGACAAATGCAAAACAAAACTGTCATGAAATACCACCTTCCAACTGTCAGAAAAGTGCCTATCAGGAAATAATAAAGGCTGGCAAAGATGTGGAAAAGGTAGACTACTTGTACACTAGTAGTGGAAATGTAAAATGGGATAGCTATGGACTGATGTCTTAAAAAATTAAAAATAGAATTACCATACAATGCATCAATTCCACTTCTGCATATATACTCCAAATTAAAAGCAGAGTTTCAAAGAGGTGCTGTATACTCATGTTCATAGCAGCAGTGAGAATGCAGAAATGCCCAACAGATAAATGAACAAACAAATTATAGTATATACATATAATGGGTTATTATTCAGCCTTAAAAAGGCCAGTCTCGACTACATAGTAAAACTCTATCTTGAAATAAAATAAGGGGCTGGAGTTATAGTTTAGTGACAGAGCACTTAACCCAGAATATGTAAGGCCCAGGTTTAATCCCCAATACAAGGATGTTTGTGGGTACAGTGGCTCATGTCTGTAATCCCAGCTGCTCAGGAGGCAGCAATCAGGATTGCAATTTGAGGCCAGCCTAGGCAAATAGCTCACGAGACACTTCATTTCAACCAAGAGCCTGAAATGGTGGGACACACCTGTCACCCCACTGCAGGAAGCATAAGCAAGAGGATTGGGGTCCAGGAAGTAAAGTAAGATCCTATATGAAAAAATAAACAAAAAAGGCCAAGGCATGGTTAATATGGTAGAGTGGCACCCTAAGGAGGTGAGTCCCTCAGCTCAAACCCCTTACACAAAAAAGAAAAGGAGGGCTGGGAATGTGGCTCAGTGGTAGAGTGCTTGCCTAGCATGCATGAAGCCCTGGGTTTGATTCCTCAGCACCACATAAACAGAAAAAGCTGAGAGTGGCACTGCAGCTCAAGTGGTAAAGCACTAACCTTGAGCACAGGGTTCAGGGACAGAGCTCAGGCACAGGACGGCAAAAAAAAAGGAGGAGGAGGAAAGCAAGCAAAGGAAAGAAAGAAAGAAAGAAAGAAAGAAAGAAAGAAAGAAAGAAAGAAAGAAAGAAAGAAAGAAAGAAAGAAAGAAAGAAAGAAAGAAAGTAGGTAGTCAATCATAAAGATAGAAAGTAAAATGCTCATTGCCTGGGCTGGAGGAGAACTAAAAATGGGAAGTTACTGTTTAATGGGTTCAGAGTTTCTACATGATGAAAACATTTTTGGAGCCAGGTGTGAGAGCTTACTCCTGTAATCCTCAGCACTCGAGGCCTTCACAGTGGTGCAAAGCCATCCTCAACTGAACAGAAAAACCTGTCAAAAAAATTTCTGGAAGCCAGGCACCGGTGGCTCACGCCTGTAATCCTAGCTACTCAGTAAGCTGAGATCTGAGGATCACGGTTCAAAGCCAGCCAGGGCAGGAAAGTCCATGAGACTCATCTCTAATAAACCACCAGAAAACTGGAAGTGACATTGTGGCTCAAGTGGTAGAGTACTCGCTTTGAGCTAAAGAGTGCTGGGACAGCGCCCAAGCCCAGCGTTCAAGCCCCACGACCGACCAAAAAAAAAAAAAATGTTCTGGAGATGGATAGTGGTAACAGTTGCACATTATAAATATATTTAATACCACGAACTATATACCTAAGATGATCTGTTTTCTTTTGTGTATTTTACACAACAGAAAAACCATTTGATAAATGAGTCCCTGAGTTCATGACAATGCTCAAAAGTTGCAAGTATTAGACAATGTGGCTAGGCAATCTCAGCACCTGGGAGGTTGCGCTGAAGAATCCCGAATTCAAGGCCAACCTGAGCTAGTGTAGAAAATCTCTCTCTCAAAAAAAAAAAACCCAAAACACCAAAGTTAAATTGTATGTTTCCATCTGAATCAGCTACTCATACAGGCCTGGACTAGAGGAAAGTGGGCTTTGGACTATGGTGCCTGAGCTACCCAAGAGTCAGAAGGACCTGCATTACAGGTATTGACCCAGGTCCCAGGGCAGACTGTAGGGAAACATGCTGAGGTCATGGCTTTGCGAAATGGACTCTTCTTCCCTAGGAGGAGAGGGGCCTTGTGGATACCAAGTCTGAGTCACCCGCCAGGAAGGCCCGCTATTTGTAAACATCTCTTTAAATGGAAGCTCTCAGACCTTTTGTGTTTCCAGAAAGCCCTCAATGCCCAGGACAGTGGGAGGGCAAAAACTGGGCTTTCAAGATCAGGCGAGAAGGTTCTACCCTCACAAGCCTTATGAGCACCCGGGATCCCCACTGGGGACTCGAGGGCCAAAAAGTCCTCCTCTTGGGCTGGGAAGGTGGCTCAGTGGTAGAGCGCTCGCCTTGCATGCTTAAGGCCCTGGGTTCGATTCCTCAGCACCACATAAGCAGAAAAAAAAATCCGGAAGTGGCGCTGTGGCTCAAGTGGTAGAGTGCTAGCCTTGAGCTGAAGAGCTGAAGAACAGCACCCAGGCCCAGAGTTCAGGCCCCACGACCAGACCCAAAAAGAAAAAAAAAAAAAAGTCCTCCTGTTCTTCACTTCTTAAATATGTACCTCTGCCTAATAATATGTACTGATACTGGGGTGAGGTCTCTCTTCCAGTCTAGTTTTATTTGAAACATTTTAGACTAAGAAAAAAATTGAAGCTGGGTGCTGGTAACTCATGTCTATAATCCTAGCTACTCAGGAGGGTGAAATCTGAGCATTGTGGTTCAAGGCCAGGCTGGAAAGACATTCTTTTTTGTTGTTGTTGTTTTTTGTTGTTGTTTTGTCATGGGGCTTGAACTCTGGGCCTGGGCACTGTCCCTGAGCTCTTCAGCTCAAGGTGAGAGCTCTACCATTTGACCCACAAAGCCATCTCCAGTTTTCTGGTGGTTAATTGGAGATATGAGTCTCACAGACGTTCCTGCACAGGCTGGCTTTGAACCATGATCCTCAGATATCAGCCTCCTGAGTAGCTAGGCTTACAGGTGAGAGCCACTGGTGCCAGGCTGGAGAGACAAATTCTTGAGACTATGATCTCCAATTAGCCTGCAAAGAGCTGTAAGTGGAGGTGTGGCCCAATCGGTGTGACTCAAGCACCAGCTTGAGTGAGAAAATTGAGCAAGAGCACAAAGCTTGGAGCTCAAGCCCCAGTTATGGCAAAGGAAAGGGGAGGGAGAGGATGGGGAACAGAAGGGGTGGAAAGAGAAAAGAAAATCAAGAAAATAATTGAGGATATAACAAAAAGAGGGGAAGAGGTAATTGAGACCCAAGAGGAAAGCTGTGCTAGAAATCACTGCATTAGTCTATATAGTAAACTATGTAATGGTAGTAATCGAAACGTTTGGTCACTTTTTTCTTTTTAGAATAAGCTTCTACAAAAAGGGCTGAAGTCACATACAAGTACAAGGGCAGGAGGCAGGAGTTAGAAATAGGATAGGACAAGAGACAGGCGCTCACAGGTGTGTGCTGCAAAGCAGGTAGCAGGAGATTCTGGCAGGGCTAGGCTGGTTCGGCAAGGGCCTGTGAGGACTTCAAAGTTTATCTGGAGTGATCCAAAAACAAATACATCAACAACGGTTGCCTCCAGAAGGGGATCAGAGTGAGCAAGAAACTGTGAGTGAAGGAGACCTTTGTGTCTGTGAATTTGAACTTTTAAAATAAAGGCACAGCCAGACAAAATGGTACATGCCTGTAATCCCAGAATTACACAGTAGAGGCAGGAGGATCCCCCCATTCAAGGCCAGCCTGGACAGGTATTAAAAGTTTCAAGTCAGCTTGGACTAGCCAATGAGATACTGTCTTTAAGAAAAAGTTCATGCTGGGTGCCTGTGGCTCATGCTTATACTCCTTGCTACTCAGGAGGCTAAGATCTGAGGATCGCAGTTCAACGCCAACCCAGGCAAGAAAGGCTGAAACTCTTATCTCCAATAGACTATACTCAAAAAAGCCAGAAGTGGCTCTCTACTTGAGCAAAAAAGCAGCTCAGGGACAGTGCCCAGGACCAGAGTTTGAGCTTCAGGACCAGTTTAAAGAAAACAAAAAAGCTCATGATCAACAATATCATTTCTCGAAAGCAAAGGTGCAATGGGACTGTCCACACGTCCCAGAAGTAGGGCCAGCTTGGTAATGGCACATATGCTTCTCAAACTCACAAGGGGGCCAGGGAACTTGCCTTGGTCTGGGCCTAGAGAGTCCACAGGGCTCCAAGGCCCATGGCCTGGAGGGCAGTGAGTGGGCAGACAAGCCACACCGACACTACCCACAGCTGCTGATTGTTTATTGCACAAGAAACTGGCAATACCAAGGCAGGGCGGGCATTACAAAACAGTCCATCAACCAATCCAGTGGTGCTGCTGCAGGGCACTCCACAAACACTTCAGTTATATACATGTATGCACGCACACATACGAACACACGTGAACATCCTCGCTGGCAGCTCCCACACAGCCCCTACCCCCCAGGCCCTTGCGGTGACTCGTGCAGAGCAAGTACAGTGAGTGATCAAAGGAAGGGCTGCACTGCAGCAAGTCGGCCACTCAAATCACTGCAGCCTGGGTGGGTGCGGACTGAGCCTCCCTACACAGGGGAAGGACTGAATGTAGAGGAAAGACCATCCTCAGAAGGCGCCAGGGACTGGCTGGAGAACCCGCCCAGGGCCCAGGAGGCTGGTCTGCAGCCTCACAGCCCTGGGAACCTGGACTAGGGAGCACCCAAGCAGAACTTGCACAACTAGATGTCAATCGGGGGCTGTGTCCCCACAATGGGGGCTCATGGGAGTCAAATAAGCCAGGCCCTTGGGGCAGCTCCTGAGCTAGCCTTCTGCTAGTTTTCGGTGGTGTTATTTCCCACTGGCAGATAAAGACTCAAGTCTACACAGCCTCAGCTGGTCAGGATGCCTCCATTCTATGCTAGGGACTGACAGCTGCTGCAGCTCCGGAGGTTCTCAGAGATGACCCCCAGGCCCACCTGCCCTTTGCCGGGGCCCCGCCTGGGTGACCGCATGAAGCAAAGGGAATCCTAGTGAAGGCGCAAATGTGATGAGCTCAGGGCCTTGGCTGCTGGGCAGCCAAGCCTCCAGGTGAGGCCTACTGAGCTCACAGAACGGCTAAGCTGGTTCCTGAGAGAAGGGGCAGATGGGAAAACTGGACCGATGGGGCTGGGTCCCCTTGAGGCCTCAGGACACCCGAGGTACCAGCTCCTTGACAGAAAGGGACAGCAGCATACCAAAAACAAAGCAGGAAACAACCCTAAACACAAACGCTTCAAGTTTATGTAGAAGGCCAGCCTGAGGGAGTTCGTCATTTCCCTCCTGGGGATCCCTGTGGTGCGTGGCTCACCCAGTCCTTGGCTGGCAAGAGACGAGCTGGCCACACCAAGAACTGGGGGAACCAAGTCCACTGCTGAGCCTCTGTGGCTACGGCCTGCCTAGGAGGGAAGCGAAGCTGCCTCCATGCAGTTTCTCCCTCAGACCTGCATTTCAGACAGACCTGGGAAGTTGTAGCTAAGCACAAACTCCCATGCCCGCAAAGACCCTCGGCTTTCTCACTCCAGGGCAGCCATCCCAAGTGGCTGATCTCGCCTAAGCACGCACTCAACACAGCCCAGGCTTTTGACCTAGGGGTAGTTCTGAAGACAGGGTCAGCCCTCAGACTTTGCAGTGGGTGATGGGGCCAAAGGTGACTAGGGGCTTTATTCCAGACTGCCACCAGCAGGCAGGAGGGAGGGCTACACCGCCTCCTGGCTCTTCTGTCACCAACGTGATGAAAGCAAGGTCCCACGCAGGGCCACCATCCATGGGGGCCTCCTGAGGGCTGCGTGGCCAGTGGCCTCTCGGGCAGGGAGGACTTGGGACTACATGTTCACTGAGGGGTGTGGGAGGGACCGCCGCAGTTACTCCTGTCCGAAGCCCTCAGTCTCCTCAATGGCATACAGCAGCTTCTCTTTCAGCTGTTCATAGCTCTTGTAGGGCGGGAGATCCAGGCGGTTGAAGCTGTCAGGAGGGGAGAGAACGGTGCGCATCAGGAGGCCAGGGTCCTAGGGCACTACCACATCAGCCCTCCGTGACTTAAGGCATCAGTGGAAGGTACAGGACCCTATAAGAATGGCGAGGGACTAGGGGCCCTTGGCACAGTAGCTCTGCCTATTGAAAGTGTTTCTGTTTCAATGGAACAAGGCTAGGTCAGAGGCTGGGGTAGAGGTGATCTGTCACAGCCCCACTTCTCCCGCCTGACACCCCAGGGCCATGCAAGTGTCATTCTCAGTGCCTAGGCCCCAGTTGCCCTCCTCACTGGACTGGGAGGAACCCGTTGGATCCATGCAGCTCCACCACATCCCACCCAAAGAAGGCTTACCAGGTATGGCTTCTGGGCAGCCATGTTTCCTTGCCAACCTTGTCGATGCAGAACTTCTGTGGGCCATTGCTCCCTGTTATCCAAGGTGAGAGCACATCTTCCGTCAGCCTTTCCCATGGCACAGCCCGCGTGCAGCTCTTCCCCACCCATGGGCTTGCTCGCTTTCAGAAAGACGCCAGGTCCCGCCCTCCTCTCCAACCATCCTCACCCCCAGCCAGGGGGGCAGCAGGACAAAGAAAACGTACCGATGAGCTCGGCAAATCCCCCAACAGGCAGGCGGCAGGTTCCTGTAACGAACTGCAGGAGGCGGATCCTCTTCTCATTGTCCATCTCCTTCACCACCTGTGACCCCAACAAGTCAAGGCAGTCAGGGGACACACCTGGCCCAGGCGCCCACTGGGCAGGGGATGATAGCCACCAACCTGGAAAGCCTCAACCTCTACCTGAACCGCTACGAGGTATGACCAACAACAACTGTACTTCCTGCCTGCAGGCCTCCCTAGGTCCTTACCAGCTGGCCCCAGGCTGACCAGTAACAACCACCTTCACACACACTGGCCCCAGCCCAGCCTCCACAGCCTCCTTTCTGTCCAGAGCCAGGCTGAGCCTCTCCTGCAAGTTGGGGGAGTTGAGGAGAGTGTCCGAGAGTGTCCAGGTTCTTGAGCCCGAGGCCTAATGAAGTCCCTTTTCCTTGAGGTCACTCTAAAATGTCCCCTGCCAAGACCAGTCCCCAGCCCAGCAGGAGGGGAACCCAGCACCCACCTGCCAGAACCACTGGATCTGCTTGCTGTTCTTGGTGTAGTGCCGGTAGATGGTGTTCTTCTGCCAGTCACTCATGTCTATCTCCTGCATGCCGCACAGCATCAGCTGCAGGGACGGGGGAGTCAGCGACCCCAGCAATAACCCCGCCTCTGGGTGGGACCTTGGGCCCCACTTTTCTTCACCCACTCGCTAGCAGGTGAAGCAATCCTAAACCTCTTCTACGACCTACTTTTTTTTCTTTTTGTTGTTGCAAGCCCGGGACTCAAACTCAGTACCCGACACTTTGCTCAGTGGCTGATGCTCTACCAACAGAAGCCAGGCCTCCAACCTGAGACTACCTGCTTTTTATAGCAGTTTAAGTCCTATGGGTCACACATGTCCCTGCACTCTCCACCCATGTGTCCCAGGGAAGTGGGGGCTGAGGACCCCGGTGACAACCACCAGCCCTACCACACCAGGCAGCCAAAGGTCGGGGGGTGGGGGGGGGAGTTGACTAGGGACTCGGGGTTCCTGCCTTCAACACGCACCTCCAGCTCTTTTTCATCAAAGTAGCGCAACCACTCGAGTGGGGCTACCTCATTGAAGCCATCCAAGAAGGCTCTGGTCTGCTCTTCCACACCGCGTGTGAAACGCCAGTCAGTCAGCAACCTAGAACCAAAGACCAGACACAGGTGGAGCCTGGGACACCTGGCCCGGCTGCCTTCCTGCCTGTGTAGTGAACAAATCCACTGAGTCATTTGGGATACTCAAACTGTGGCGTGGGAGCCCAGAAACGCCTCTGGGACATGGAGAGATGCCCATTCCCATACCACCTCCTCCTTGCACTCCTCCCGCCGCCACTCATTGAACCTTAGCTGTTCAGCAGTGTGGGCAGGAAAGCCTAGGCCAGAGGCCTGAAGAAGATGTGTGGAGCTGTGCACACCAGCACCCAACAGATAGTGGACTTAAGCAAGTAAGACACAGAAATTCCCTGTTGGGAAAGAGATGGTGATATCTAAGTAAGTTCCCTCAGCTGGGAAGCCTCCCTCACACAAAAAGGTAAGCAAGGGCCTGAGGCTGTGGCTCCCCTAGCTCATGTCATTACATGGCCAGCCATGGACCACCAGCCCATGTGGGTGCAACTGAGAGGCTCCTGCAATCTGTGCTGACCTATGGGCCCCAGAGACAAGAGTAGAAACCCATTCTCAGGGACCTGCTGGGTCCCTCCCTCCCCAGCCCCTCCCATGACCTGAGACTCACATGATGTACTCTTCCTTGTTCTCCTCGGTCACTCGGATGCTCTCGCCACCTTCCTTCAGCTCATGGGTTGTCACCTTGCCCAGGATCTCCATGTCCTGGATAAAGAACAGCTCCAGGCCACATTCTTCTAGGTTGTTCTCTCTGAAGCACAGGAGGCCAAGGGGGAAGGTGTTCATCTTGTTGCCTATGAGGCACTAAAGACTCACAGATGGGCCTAGAATCCTGATCAGTGGCAGAGGATATCTCCTGATATAGGAGAGGACTCTGGACTCACCCTACAGTGGACCTGGAAGGTGTCTCCACAAGCTCATAGAAAGGTCAGGTAAGCGTAAATGCTCAGGACCTCTCTGGCATAGGAGATTAAAACCATGGTGCCAATTACCCAGGTAGAGCCCTGTTCTCTGTCAGCTTAGAGCAAGCACAGAACTTACTTGATCCAGACAATGGAGTTGTAAAATTCAGGGTCAATGGACTCCAAGTCTTTCAGGGTTGGTCTCTTGTTGAGCATCCGCTTGTAGAAAGGGAGGGTGAAGCCTGTGTCAATGAACTTTCCATGGTACAATGCCTGAGGAAGGAAGAAGCAGGGCGTGAGGCAGGCAGGCAGGCTCTTGGCCAAAAGGCTGCTCCACTACCTTCCTTCCCTCCCCAGGGGACTGTAAGCAGCCAGCTGTTTCGGGGACCAGGAAAAGTCCAGGAAATAAGCACACTATTCTGTCTTGATGTGGACCCTGAGACACACTCTGATCCCATCCTGCTAGCCACAGAGATAAGGAGCAGGGCTGACCCACTGTGGCCGAGAATGCCCCCCAGGCTACTCCTGGTCAAGCCCAAGGAAGACTTGTTCACAACAGCTCCAGGTGGCAGCCCTGATTCACTGGGTGCTCACAGCAGGTGGAGGAGGAAGCCAAAACAAAGCCAGTGTGGTAGAGAGTGAAACCTGGTGGCCAGGGGCAATAGTCTGGGGCTTCACTGGCCTGTCCTGGTTGCTGGGCCAGGCGGGTCTCCAGACACGGCAAGAATGTGCCCATTTCCAGAGCCTGGAGCCTTGGCCAAGAACATCCAGATGGTGGGAAGGACCATATTTAGTCACAAACCCTTAAGGACTTTATCCTCCCGAGAGGGGAAGGAGGATACTTGCGGGACTCCAGGAAAAGCAGCACAGCACAGTGAGCACAGCGGCGGCTATGGCCTCTACAGGCTCTCTTGCACATAGCTGGATCTCCACTCCCACAAGACACCGTGGAAGACATGGCATGGTCTACCCTGTCCCCAGTCATACTGGGTGCCTATTTCTGGGTGCCTCCCCTAGGTTTTGCACCAGTCTAGTCTTCCCTCCACCCATGGATCATGACAGGCGGCAGCACCTTCCAGAGACAGGCAGCAGGCAGGCAGCTATGGCTTTACTCAGCCCAGCCACCAACCCAGTACCCCACAGGGTGCACTTTTAACATTTAGTGAAGCCTACTGCTCAGGGACCCTGGGATTCTACTCGTAAAGTGCTACACAATCACATGAGTAACCTGCAGTACTTCACAGTGGGTCACTGAGAAAGCTCTGGATTCTCTAGAACTATCTCTAGCTCTTCCCATTTTCAGGTGCAAACTTCTGCGGGGGAGACAGCGGGTGCCAGTAGAGGAGGCGTGGCTCTCCTTGGGTGCTGCCTGGAGGGCTCAGGGGAAGAATATGTCCTCCTGGAATTCTAGGGGGAGGAAGGGAAAGGGAAGGAAGCACTCCTGGGACTTGGGGACTTCCAGGTTCCCCTTACCATAGCAATGAATCTGCCAATAAAGCGGAAGTAGGTGAGGTGGTCAGGGTTGATGGACGAGGCCGGGTTGATCTGCAGACAGTAATTGTTCTTGCCAGCATATTCAAATAAACAGTACATAGGGTTGAGCACCTCGTGGGACAAAAGGAAAAACCACTCTCTGTGAGGGAAGAGAGAAAAACAAGAGCAATGGATCCCTCCGTACACCTGCACAGAGATTGTGACTGCCGTGTGTCCCAGGGGGTCTGGGGACTGTTCCCAGACAAGCAGCTGGGTAGCGAGCCAGCTGGGCTCAGACTGAGGGTGAACTAAGACAGCGGCACTTGAGGATAATGCTCAGGAAAACTGTGAGTTCCAGGGCTGTGGCACATTCCAAGACTTTATGTCATCTGTGCAGCGCTTTGAATGACTAAGTTGCTCCTATTGTCCTTGGCCTCCAGGCATAACTGTGTAGGTTGCACACTACACAAGGGTACTAAGTTATACATTTCACACATTTGCACATTTATAGTATTTCTATGTAGGTGCTGTATGACAGCAACCAATCTGCTTCCACTTTATCTGATTCGGCACTATAATATAAATATATGGTAACATTCCTAATACCTGCACCATGAAAACTGTGCTGCCCATACCTCCAGATTCGAATCCTCACCCAGCAGCAATAATAGCACAGGCATCTCGCTTCACTCACCATTTCCCTCCCTCACCATCTCCTTGCCCACTCTCCCCCGCATTCATCTGAACCCACACCCACACCTTAGCATCTATTTGCACCCCAGGTCCAAGCCTCAAGCCAGAATTCAGAGTCCTTTCAGGCTTGAGCTAAGTTGGCAGAGGACTGTTCCCAGTGGGGCGGGCCCTGGAGGCTGGGCTGTTTGTGGCTGGGTAGACGGAGTCCTTCGATGCAGAGGGTACCCCGGTATCCTGTCCGTGGTTCTACCCTGTGGTAGAACAGCATGATGTAACCTACCATAGGGTAAAACCACTGGCAGGACACAGAGAGAGACAAACAGGGCGGAGCCACACCAGAAGCCCACCAAGCAGAGCCTAGAGAGGAGTCACCACAGAAAAAAGAACAATCCATCCACAGGGCAACACAGAAGGCAACACCACCAGCAAACAGAGGGTGAGAAGACGGGGGCCCAACACCAAGCGAGGAGATAGCCCCACACCATGAGGTCAGCGGGCTGAGGTCACCGCAGCTGAGATCCTCCTTCTCTCTGTCGGGGCTATGGGCCTATTGGCGGAGGCTGCACTTTCTTGGGCAGCTTGTTAACTCCTGTGAGTACACCAGGCTGAGCACAGGATAGTGTCCTGGGCTCTTTTGGGGTCTAACAGCCATTTTGATTTTCTTGGTCTCTGTACACATAAGAGCCCTTTATCACAGCACGGTTTATACATTCCATGATACCCATCTTCACCTGTCCTGGACACCTTGGGATTAAAGGAGCCCTGGGATTGACTTTAAGGAAAACCCCAGGGGCCCCAATATTCAGCTACTGTCCACTGATACAACTGGATTGGCTGCTAAGACAGAAAAACAATAACATGTTGCCTGGTATAGAGCCATGATCTGGTCCCCCAGGAGCCCTCAATCAACCCATTGCCCACTAAGGGCTGGTGCCTGCTCCTGTGCCTACTGGGACCAGCCAGGAGGGTTAAATGTTCTGAATGTCATCCCATGGCCTTCAGGAAGATGCAATGTGAGCAAGGAGGAGACACTTTCTGGCTCCTTCCCCCGTAGCCACTGGGTACAGCACATCCAACTGACATCCGAGCTCACCTGGCGATGCCACCATAGTCCAGGCCCTCCTCGCCACGCATGATGATATAGAGCCGGCGGCGCAGGTCATAGGGTTTCATGTTCATGATCTGAGGAAACAGGGTATCTGGCCAGCCTGCCACTGTCTCCAGGATGGCAGGTGAAGGATGGGGAGGTGGGAAAGAGACTCTAAGGTCTGTTCAAGAGACACGTCACTGATGCCTGTGCCTTGGGAATTCCACAATAGGGTCTGACAGAGGATGCCTGTGACAGAGGGTAGGGCGATGGACCAAGGGCTTTTGCTGGCCCTGGATCTCTAACCTGTTGGAAAGAATCCTCAAAGAGTGTCTGCCTGGAAACGCTGATCTTCACGTGACTGGGTAGGGCATTTGACTGGAAAAAAAAAGAAGACAAAAACCTCAAAACCTCACAGGGCATCTGTTCAATGGGTTTTCCTGTCTACATGAAAAGGCATCTCCCCCACTCTCCAGGAATGGAAGCTAGCTTCCTAGATACCTAGAGCAGGGTGAGAGAAACATGATGCCTGTAGCTAGATTGCAGACGTTCCAAGGGCTGGACCAGCAAATCACATTAAGAGCATTCAACAGTCCCGGGACCCTGGGACCAGAACTCACATGGCAAAGGAAACGGAACTGGTGATACTTCCACCGGAAACTGCGGTCATAGGCACCAGGAGAACCTTGTTTCGTCCTGGAGAGAATAAATAACGTTCCGGAGTTTGTGATTTCTCAAAAAATGAACAACCTGTCTTTGTTAGCTGTAGGGAAAGCAGATGCTATGTAAAGGAAAAGCATAAGAGAAAGGAAATGACTACTACTAAGAACTCTGGAGAGTCAAGAGAGAATGTAGAATCAATGGCAGACCTCTTGCTTTTGGAGAAATATCTCTAAGTGCTATTCTGAATGAACAAGATAGCCCTTTCCTCTCCATTCCTTTGTAGTGACACCAACACTGGCCACTAGAGGGCAGTGAGCAGCATAACACATCTACTCTAGCCATCCAATGCTAAAGCTCCCCACCCTGAGCCAGCCTGACAGTTTGGGCCTGTGCTTACACTCACTGCTGCCACCTATGAAGGAAGGTCCTTACCCTGACTCAAACCCTGGGCGAGGATCCTTAAAGGTGGTGGTGCGGGTATTGTGGTCCACAAAGTACCGCACTCCTTCACTGGTATATTTCATCTCCCATCCTGGGGGCAAGGCTGGTTCCTGGATCATCCTGGAAGCACAAGGAGAAGTTAAAAGCTGGTCCCATCTCTGGACCTCCACTTAGGAGGCAGGGGTCCTCAAACTGCTGCTCTGTTGATCCCTGGGGTGGGCAAAGAGAAACCATTTACAAAGGCCAGGCTAACGGCCAGCCCTGGACAAACGGTACTAACCTGAGTGGCTGCTAGCAATTGTGAGCCACCAAGTTCCCTAGTCCTTCTTCTTATGAGGTGGGGGTAGGAGTGACCTCCGCCTTTTGCAATCGTATTGTCACAGTCAGTACAGACACTGCAGCCCCTACCAGTGGTCACTCTTTACTCACCAGGATTGTCTATTTAAGGAACCCCAATGCCATAGCCTAAGAATCTTGTAAAGATCCCCAATGTCAGCACTTGTAGAGTGAATGCAATTCAAAGCCACTTAGCCAATGAGCCCCTCTCAGCCTGAACTCTTACCCCTGGGTTCGAGGGTCTTCCCACTGAGTGGTGCGTGTGTTGTGGTTCACGTAATACACCCGTCCATTGTCCTGTCTCTTTTCTGCCATTGAAGAAGAAAGAAAAAAAAAATAATCACATTCAAACACCTTTCTCCTCAGCTCCTTTGGCCTGGGTGCTAGATGTGAATTTCTTTCCCTATAGCCACGTTTAGGGACCAAAGCCTGGCCAACTCATGCTTGTCAAAAGAAAAATGAACGAAGAGACTTTCCCTGTTGCAGAGTGGGGAGAGATGCACACGTTTCTAACTTCGGTGGCTGTGGGAAGGGGAGCATGGCGGCTCTGAGTGGGACAGCCTGGCTAAACCAGCCAGCTGTGTTCAGCCAGGCTGATCCCTAGCCCCCCACACACACCCCCCACGCTAAGTCTTCCTTCAGCACCACAGGGTAGGACATGGAGCAGGCAATCAGCTCCACGTGGGCGGGAGGAAAACGGGGGCCAAGGCTCTAAACCCCAATGAAGCCACCTTTCCTGGGAAGTTTCTGATGCTTTGAAGTTGTCCTGGAAACAAACAGTATTAATGGCTCTCCCCCTTTTACAACAAGGATGGCACTAAAGAAAGTGATAATAATTAGTTCCAGAAGCTCCGAGAAACCTAAAAAGGGAAAGGAAGGCCGAACTGAGGAGATCAGGCCCTTCCTGACAGAAGCAAGCTTGAATATTCCCAGGATCAGTCCAAGGTTTTTGTCTCCAACTCCCCCTTCTTGCTGTTTTATGGCTGGAATTTTATAAATACAGACATTACCTGTCAATCATACCTCAGTGAAGATGGGAAATGAAATAAAAATAAAGACAAATGAGAGAACAGGAGGTAGATTCAACTATAACAAGGCAACCACCTCCTGCTCATGGATGCTACTGATCATAGAAGGCTGTCCTCCCAGAGGTTCCTGAATGATGGCCACTCCTAGCCCAGGAGCTATGGCTGTGACCTACAGGGGCCTTGTCCAGTGGCTCGGAGGCCTGGGCCACCATTCCTGGCATAGCCACAGTGCTGAGGCCTCTTTACACCCACAAGCAGCCTTACTGCACACAATTTCAGTGTACGGGAACAGCCATGGAGTCACCCCTGGAGTAGCAGAAAGAGACCTGGAACCTCAGGGCAGGAGGAGCACTGGCAGGCTCATCGCTGCTGCCATGCTCCTCTGGCTATGCTTATCCCTGGAGAGGCAGTAGCTTCTCTGCCGTAGCCCTGAGGCTGCTAACACTAAGCCCAAACGAGTGGGATTGGCCTCTGAGCAGAACGTTCTTTTCGTACTTTTGGAACGTAACTGTTTTGTGGCTCTTTCTGATTGTTCATAAACAGCACGGACTCTTCTCTGTCCAGTTCTAATGTTTTCCCACTTAGTGCCTGGGACCCATTTACAAGTCTTGATAGCTGCTCTTTTTTTTTTTAAAGCAAAACTTCTACAGAAATAAACTCACTTGACTAGACTCCATCATCTGCCTCTGAAGAGCTAGAAACAAACTCCAGGTCCTGATCTTGATGTCGCTGGCTGCCAAACAGCCTTACAGATTCTTGTGAGGCCAGAGGTCCTTTCCCTGTCTACATGAGGATCCCAAGAGCATGTTTGATATGCTGCTCATCTTGGAGATACTAATAACCTTGTATTGGTCCAAGGAACCTGGCAGGTTACCTGCGTACACAGAGATTCCCTACCTGAAAGTCAAGAAATACATGGAAGCTAGGAGTACTGGCTATAAGTCTAGCTATTTGGGAGGCTGAGAGCAAGAGGATCATGGTTGTAGGCCAGTCTGGGCAAAAAGATTATAAGATCCCATCTTGATAGAAAAAGCTGCACATAATGTATCATCCCAGAGGCAAAAGTGAGACTCTATCTCAAAAACTGCCAGAGCTAAGAGGGCTAACATCATGGCTCACTTGATAGAGCACCTGTCTAGCAAATGTGAGGTCCTGTTTTCAAACCCCAGTGCCAAAGAAGAAAAAGAAGATGAGGAGGAGGAGGAAGAAATAATTCTACCGAAATGAAATGTACTCTTTCTGTGACTTATGAAATGGCAACCCCTCTGTATATCACCCTTATAAAAACAATCAATAATGATGATGATGGTGATGATATGTGGGAGATTTACTGATAACTCCCACTAGAAGAGAGTGTCTCCTAGCACTCTCGAATGCAGTGGGAACTCACCAGCTGAAGCTCTGTAGGTCCAGAGGAGTTGACAGAACCTCTAAAATTACTATAAGGGAGCAGCTGCCTGGAGAGGCTCCAGCCCCCCAGCAGCACTTCTGCAGGCAGATGCCCATCCTACCACTGTCAGCATCTCAGGAGTTTCACCACTTCTGAGCGTGAGCGCTCCCTGCCAAGTTAATACTGTCTGTGAACACCACTTACTGTTTTCTGCTGCCCCAACCAATAAACAAAACACACCACCTGCTGATTCCTGTGAAAACTGCCCCCTTCAGCACTCAGGGACTCTTGCCAGATTGGACAACATCCTACCCACCTCAGAGAACTGCAGAATGCACCCATCTCACCATATCTAATGACACCTCTTTCATAGCTACTCCTTCCTAGAATAGCCATGAGGCCTATAATCTCTCCTAAACCATGGGTGTCTATCCTTTAACTCATTCTTGGTGCATCACATCAATGACTTGGAATATGTGAGTGGCAGTAGCTACCAGTGGAAAGGACTGAGCATGGTGCCATAGCCCTTAGAAGTGCTAACTAGCACTGCTGCCCTTTCACAATCACCGTCCAGTACAAACAGCTATGTGGCAAATACAAGAGGGACTGCATTAGTCAAATTAGGCTGAAGTTCCCCAATATCTTAGCTGCAAAGAAAGATCTGTTAAGGTGCTCCCTTCCAGCCAGAATCACAAACCTGAAAGAAGTCCATTTGGAAAACAGACAGGGTCAAAAGACCTTGTCATGGGCTGGATTTCTGAGTTGACACCTTGAAACTTCCGACCAGAACCCAATAGTCCCACAATCTTTTTAGGGTCACATTCCTTTGCTATGGCCCAAGAAAGTCTCAACCTGCCAGCTCCACCATTTGTCATTGCTCTGACATGCAGAAGAAGGGAGAGAGGGGCATGGCTGATGCACCGCAGGCCTAGGGCACAGAACGGAAAAGGACGCGGTACTTACCCCAGCCAGGAGGGAGGGGGCCCAAGGGATCGTGGTCGGTCGAGGCGCTCGAAGACTAAACACAAGAAACACAGCAGAACACAGAGGTTAAAAAAGAAAAGAAAAGAAAAAAGCCACCAGTTAAAAATAAATCGATCAAAATAAAACGCTAACAACTCACTTCCACATTTCAGCAGCAGGACCTTAGGTGGCACTACTCTTCTAAAGTCTTTGTTTAAAAACAACAAACAAACAAACAAACCCAGAAAAACAAAGAGCTCTGAAGAGGGCAGAGCCCAGCTGGGTCTGGAGAAGTGTGGAGCGAGTAGGAGGAAGAGGTACTCGGAAGAAGGTGGGCCAGAGTGCTAGGGCAGGAGCAGGCCCAGGTATGGCAGGAGGGCTTGGGAACACAGGGCTGCCCCGCCAGCTCGCCGCCAGCCTCTGCTCAGCTCCTGCTCAGAGCATCCAAGGCAAATGAAATCCCCACCACCCCTAACTTTCTCCAAGAACCACACACGGGAGGGGAAAAAATACCACAGGCCTTTCCAATGAAATCATTCCCACAAGCCCTGCCCACACCCAGGGCTTCCTGGCTAGAGCTGGGCCCTCCTCCTTTCACCTCCCTCCTGGGTATACAGCATCCACCCAGACTGAGGGCACATTCATGCCCCGAGCCCCTCACCTCCCCCAGGAATGCTTTCCTTCCCCTGCACAAAGCACCTTTATTCTTCCCCTGCCTGAACCTGAAGTTGCTCAGTGTTCTGTGTTTGCCTGTCTGGGGAAGGTGAGCTGGGGGTGGGGTGGCAAGAGAGATGGGGAGAGGGAGAGGGGGAACAGGCTCCAGGACTTCAAGGTCACTGTTTGCATTAGAGTGCCCCCCACCCCTCCCCACCTAATTCTGCTTCAAGGTCCCTGGGGAAGGGCTGCAGTGGATGGAGAGTTCTCATATCCTTTGGGGAAGGGGAGGGGGGATGCTGTCAAAACCTTTTCATAGTTAAATAAAACAAGTATTGTTCTGCTCCTGCTTACTCCCCCCTCCCCGAAGCATTTTTATTACACTTACTAAAATTTAATCGTTATATTAAGGGATCAAGTTCTAAATGCAGACTTCAGGCTGCGGGGCTGGCCCCGTCTGGGAGTGATGGAGCCACACGCGGGACGGAGGATGAATGGGGCTCAGTCTCAGCTTGAGCAAACATTGGTGGAGTTTTTACTGCCAAGAACTCCCTTCATAGCCCTCCCTCCACCCGCGAGTGAAAGAACAGAGAAACGTTCTTTCCGAGGTGGTAACACAGGCTACTCTTCCAAGCCAGTTCCAACAAAGACGTTTTAAGTCTTGCAACCATAAGTTCCTTGACGGGACAGGGCCCCTTTCAGTGGAGGGCCTCTTGCCACACAGAATGCAACTGCACCCAGCAGGCGAAAGCTGGCCTCAATTTAGGGCACAATCTCTAGGATGTGCGTACAACCACCATTGCAATTCAGACTTGTCTCAACACTGGAAAACACTGCTCCGATTCACAGCAGTCATCTGGGTGTGTGTTTGGAGTGGAGGAGGGATGGAGGTGGTGGGGTGTGGCATTTCACAAATCCCAATTCCTCCCACTTTGCTTTGTAGTTACCACCTAAGAACAGTCACTGTGAAAAAAAACAACTCGGCAACAGGAGCAGAAGAGCAAAAATGAAAGTGCATCTCTCATAGATAATGATAGAACACTACAGCAATGGCTTCACAAGAAGTGTCTTTAAGAAACTAAAGAAAAAAAAAAGGAGGATTGCCGGGCACTGGCGGCTCCCCTCTGCAATCCTAGTAACTGAGGAGGCTGAGATCTGAGGACCGAGATTCAAAGCCAGCTGAGGCAGGAAAGTCTGTGAGACTCTTATCTCCAATTAACCACCAGAAAACTGGAAGTGACGTGACTGAAAGTGGTACAGTGCTAGCCTTGAGTAAAAAAGCTCAGAGACAACACCCAGGCCCTGAGTTCAAGCCCCACAACAACAAAAAAGAAAAAGAAAAAAAAGGAGGACTTGGTACCTGCTGCCTCCAATCTCTTTGAGGAAGGAATGTATAAAGTATCCATAGGCTCCAGTGGGAATTCAGCTATCATCAGTAGATTTATAGTTATCTTCTGCTTCACTCTACATATCAACAGGCCAAAAGTTCTTTACTGATGAACAAAAATGTTTATCAGATCTTTTTTGTTGTTGTTGTTGGTATGTGAGGCTTGAATGCGAGGCCTGGGTGCTGTCATTGAGCACTTTTTGCACAAGGCTAATACTCTACAACCAGAAGCCACAGCTCTATTTCCAGCTTTTGAGTGGTTAATTGGAGATAAGATAAGCTAGCACCAGCTAGCTTCGAACTGTGATCCTCAGATCTCAGCCCCCTGAGTAGCTAGCACTGCTGGCGTGAGCCACTAGCATCCAGCTTTAAAAAAAACAACGAACAAAAACAAAAACAAAACAGGGTCTCAGTATGTTGCCTCCACTGGTTTCAAATCCCTGGGCTCAAATGATCCTCCTGCCTCAGCCTCCTGAGTAGCTAGGATTACAGGGGTCTGCCACCACACCAGACATAACCAACCTTTTTCTTAATTTTTGTCATTTAAAAAAATTTTATATATATATATATATATATATATATATCTGAAATCCCACAATGTTGGCTCTTTTTCATTAAAGTACATTCTTATTTCATGTCTTTGGGACCCTCCCATCCACCTCCCTCAGAACTCCACTCATCCCACCTCAACCTAGAGGAAGAAAGAAGGACTGCAGAGGGAAAGACCCAACGTTGATACACAACATAGGAAATCAGAATCATTGGGAACATGCTCATATAATTTTACTTCTCATAATTAGAGCAAAAGAACTTGACTATTTTGGATATTTCTTCCGAAGGTATATATTATAATTTGAAAAATGAGAAAAGAAAACTAAGGAAGAGAGTGAACAGAAGCTAAGGAAAAGTGAAAAATAAAAGCCAAGTATAATGGCCAGAAAACAAACAAAAATCACCTCCAATGAGGTACTAAGGGGTCAAACCAAGGGCCTTGCATGTGCTAAACATGTGGGTCATGCCCCAGCATAACTGCTACTTCTCTTCCAACACATTTCTCCTAAAAAGTGTCATACGGAACAGAGCTGGCAAGCATACAGATATGACGAGGGGACTTGGGGCCACAGGAGACAGCCTGGGAGATAGTGGTAACTACTCCAAGAGGCAATATTATTTGTGGTTAGTGGAGTGCTGTGCTACTGGACTGCTCTCCTATGTCCCAGGATTGGGATATCTGGGGTGCAGGCCATGAGCCAGAGAGCTCACGTGAGTTTAAGTCCCTCAGGGACTAAACACAAAGTCCCAGTAATATTTTAAGATACAAACTAAGAAATAAAGAATGTCTAGCAAATACAGCAGAGAAGCAAATACAGCCTAGGGCAAGAAAGGTTCTGGGAAGGGCAGAGGGGTTGAAGAGGGGAAGGAGGCATTGCATTTTTTTTAGGATATACCCAATGGACTTGGAACGAAACCGAGGTGCTTGAGAATTCAGTCTGAGAAGGCTCTCGGGAACGGAAGGGAGGTGTCAGCTTCTGGATAGTGCCCTTTGAGAGCACATGGTTAGGAGCACACCATGATTTGTGCCAGCCCTGCCATCGCTGGCTTTCTTCTTTGCTCATTAGGACAGGGCAAGGGGGGAAATGAAGGCAGAGGTACTGCAGAGATGGCAGGCTATGTGACTGGTTTTGACACAATGGCACAGGACCGCCAGCGTCCCCAATGGGCCATAGCAGTGGCCCCACAAGCATGGGGCCAAAGAAAACTACAAGGGAGAAATAAACAAACAAAAATACACATGCAATGACCTCAAGAAACAAAGGCAAATTGGGAGTTAGGAAAGAAAAACACACCAGAAATATGGAGAACAATCACCTAGAGAACATGAAGAAAGTATGAGTGGAGGCAGACAGAGGAAACGTGGGCTTCGCTTGACTCCCATTGTGAACTGTATTTCATACTCTCTGCAGTCTAGTTAAGAACAAGATCTCAGTTTAAGCTGAGCAAGAGGAAGAGGGGACACCACTGTAAGTATCAGCTCTTAAGTCTTCCGAGTCAAACCCTGGTCCAAAGCCAAACCCCAAAATAACTGTATGAAAGCAACCCTTCTTGCTTGTAACCAGGACATGGCACCATAGCAAACGAGAGGGAAAAGTAAAGCCATAGGGGGAGGGAAAGCAACAGAAGGACATTGAGAGCAGAGCAAAACAAGATTCCCATCACATTTTTCAATACAAGATGTGTTCCATGGAGAAAAGGCGGCCCCCACCTCCATACAGTCCTGTCCTGTGTCCCCAGCTAAGCTGTGCAAACCATTTTCGAGGACTCAGAAAGAAAGACGTTTCTACATTGTAGTTTTTCTTCTAGGGAATTCTCCAAGTCCAAGGTCTACCAGTATGGGAAGACATGCTAAAATGAGAGAGGCAGGCAAGAGGAATGAAGGCTCCACAAATGCCACACAGAATTAGGTGGCAGCTCCTTCCAATCTCCCCTTTCACACACACAAAACATCCCAGTCAACCTAGAGAATGAACTGCCTCGAGAATATGGTACAGAATAAAAGACAGTCTTCAGTGCACTTTTTTTCAAGAAAAGTTGGATAAACAGGAAGACAAAACCATGGTAAGACTTCTAAGTTGTGTCCTTGTCTATAAGCCAAAGGACAAACAGATCAAAGAAGAAAGATGCCCCAAACCTTCCCAGGTCTGGAGCCAGGACCACCCAAGGAAACAGCAGGCAAATTCTCCAGGGCCCAGCTCAAGAGGAATGAGCTGGGGAAATGACCAGATTTCATTCAATTTTGAAACTTCCTATGGATGCCAGGCATGCTCTGGGGTGGGCATGTGGCATAGTGTCAGTCACAATGCTGACTGGGTAAGACCACCAGGGCCTGGTGCTCATGAATGGGCATAACAGTTGGCCGTGAAGGCAGTTTCCTAAACCAAACAGCATCATCCCTACTAAGAAAACTGAGGTACTCCTCCGTTTCCTCACTTTCTGGCAGAAGCAACAGAGGGACAAGCTAGCCAAGAGAGATGTTATCATGACTTATGGTTGAAAATGGAGTTTCTGGTTTAGGTAAGCAAGTCAAGAGCCACAAAGGTGATACAACAACTGCTATTTAATTAAATGGAATTAAAATTTTTCTGAACACCTAATTAAAATAGCATCTAGTCTTGCTCTTGCTCCTCTTTTCTAGCTCTCTCTGCTCTAGCTCTTTCCTCTCTTTCCCAGTCACATGGAGTGCCAACCTTGCCTGGTCCCAGCAGGTCTACTGAATAAACCTACCCCTTACCTGAATACCACGTGAGTGCTACTGTTTTAAAAAAATTTTAACTAAAATAGCATCTAATTTAGAAATACAGTGTGGAGTTAAAATTCATTTCAAATAAACAAAGTTATACATGATGATTAAAAGTCATGGTCCAGCCAGGCTCACGTCTATAATCCTGGCTACTCAGGAGGCTGAGATCTGAGCATGGAAGTTCAAAGCCAGCCCAGGTAGGAAAGTCGTAAGACTCTTCTCTCCAATTAACTACCAGAATACCAGAAGTAGAGCTGTGACTCAAATGGTAGAGTACTAGGCTTGAGCAAAAAAGCTCAGGGACCCCAAGCCCCTGATTTCAATCTCAGGAGCAGCGCGCGCGCGCGCACACACACACACACACACACACAGAGAGAGAGAGAGAGAGAGAGAGAGAGAGAGAGAGAGAGAGAGAGAGTCATGGCATGGTCCAGTTCAAAATACTAATGCTAGGGGCTGGGAAGGTAGCTCAGTGGTAGACTGCTTGCCTCGCATGCATGAGGCCCTGGGTTCGATTCCTCAGTACCACATAAGCAGAAAAAGCTGGAAGCGGTGCTGTGGCTCAAGTGGTAGAATGCTAGCCTTGAGGTGAAGAGCTCAGGGACAGCACCCAGGCCCAGAGTTCAAACCCCACAACTGACAAAATAATAATAATAATAATAATACATTTAAATAAAAAAGTATAAATGTCATTCTGTAGGTATCTAAATAAAGTGATGTGAGAGTGTGATGAGGATAACATTTTAAAACTGCTCTGGCAGGAAACCATAGCACAGTCTGTAAAAGAGTCCCAAATGCAGTAGAGAGGAATTCAAAGGCTACTCTGACAACTCAGATAGGAGGGGGCAAAGGAAAATGAAGTATCTCATAGATTGAGGTTGATTCAGACTAGGTGCCAGCAAACTATAAAGAGCAGACAATAAAGTTTTTAGTCCTTGTGGGCAATATGGTCTATGATGGTAGCATGAAAGTAGTTGACACATCAACTATCCACGTATGCTTGTGTTCCAATAAAACTCTATTTACAAAGCCAGGTGGTGGGCCACGTTGACTGATTTTGCCAACTGCTGATGTAGATAAGCCTTAAAGGCTGTCCATCCTCAAGAATCTGTCCAATAACAGAGGTCAAAAAGAAAAACTAAGGCCCGGTGCTGGTGGTTCACGCTTGTAATCCTAGTTACTCGGGAAACTGAGATCTGAGGATCATGGTTCTGAGCCAAGCCAGGCAGGAAAGTCGGTGAGATTCTTATTTCCAATAAACCACCAGGAAACCGGAAGTGGTGCTGTGACTCAAGTGTTAGAGCGCTAGCGTTGAGCTGAATTGCTGAGGGACAGCACCCAGGCCCAGAGTTCAAGCCCCACCACCGACAGAAAAAAATAAAACTATAGCAGTAACAAAGATTGAGTCCTGTGATCTAGAAAGCTGAATATGGGCCAAGTCAAACTTGACCTCCAGGCTTCAAGTCAGAAAAAAATGGCTTTGAATGGAGAAGGTAGCAAAGAAAGCCAGTCTTAGAAGATAATGAAGTCAGTTTCAGATATGTTGATTCCCTAAACACCGAGGCTGGCCATGGAGTTACCAAGTTAGAAACACTGGAATCCGAGGAATTTCACTGTGATGAGTGAAATCTCCAGAGTCAGAGCGCTGACATCTCTGGCCACCTTCTTCCCAGCCCATCACCTATATGGGTCTATAGTCAATGTGTGAGACTGCATATTCTAGCACGTATGGAGGTTGCCCCCCTGGTGGCAGGCCCCTGTCCTTACCTGGTAGAGGAATCTTTGGCTGAAGTGCTGCATTGCTCCCTGGAGCTGATTCCGCTGTGACTGCCATTGCTCATAGTTCCGCACATATTCAGCTGTCGGGCGCTGCCAGGTGGTAGTCCGAGTATTGTGATCCACATAGTAAAACCTCCCTCGAGGATCTGTGCGTTTTTCCCAGCTAGAAATATTAAGCTCAGAATGAATATAGTGACCAACTACTTCCATCCACAAACTCTAGACAAATCTCAGATGACCCCTTAGAAAGGGCTGAGGGAGGGTGAAGTGTGGCTCAGGAACAGGGATGTTCTGTAAGGCAAGGTCAGGGCACAGAGGCTTATGGGACTAGGTCGTTATGACAGGCCTCTGTAGTTTCCAGTTTGGGGTTTTGTAGAAGCTGAATTTGTTCCCAAACTGAGCTGAATGCTTAACTGGGCTAGGAGTAAGCATGCAATCTTTACTGGGAAAATCAAAGTGGATTTCAGAACTTTTGCTAGGTATTCTGCAAACAAACAAACAAACATCCAGAAAACATAAGTCTCTCATCTTTTCTGCATAGTGTCCTGCATCCTATGCTTTCTTCTTCCTCAGATGTGTTCCCAAACTTGACTCTACTCTGAGGAGGTTCTCAGAGGCAGCAGTAATGTTGTTGATGTGTATGGTGGTGGTACACAGGTGGCAGTGTGTATGTGTATACATGCTCAAGCATGCACATGTGGCAGAGGAACAGGAGCGATGGGAATCTAACAGCTCCCTTCACAAACTTTCAACTGGTCTAGTTTTAATCTTATCTCACACCCTCTTTGGGTTCTCCAATCACTGAGCCTTTCTAGGGCTCCATGGAGGCAGCTTGGAACCATGTCCTGCTGGATGCCTGATCCTGCAGGCTTGGGTTTCAGCGTTCTCAGCTCTGCCACTTATGATCAGAAACTAAACTTGAATTAATATCTCTCCTATATGTTGTTTGTCCGCCTCCATTCCTTTATTTTTGAGGGATTATGCTTTATTGTCATTTTAGTAGATTTTCTAGAAGAATGGAAATAAATACATATTCAATCTACATTTCAACTAGAAGTCCTCTGCCACAGTTAATTTCAGCTTCAAAATCTATCTCTCCTTTCCTGTCCTCTCTTCTTCTCTCTTCTCTTCCCCTCTTCTTTTCTTCCCTCTTTCTCCACCCAGCCTTACAGTACTGAGGTATGAATTTACTTAAGCTCAATCATTTAAACTACATCACCAGCCCAGTAACAATTATGCTTCCATGTCCATTTTTTGTTTTGTTTTGTTTTTGTTTTCACAGTGCTGAGGACTGAATTTAGAGCCTTAAGCATGTTAAGCATGTGCTCTGCTGTTGAAGGACATCCTCAGCTTTCAGGAGAGATCTTATACACTGATAATATTTAAAAACAGCAGTGCTTGGAGGCCTAGTCAGGCTTTTCACGGTACAGAATACATCACTGAACTAGGAGCCTTGCTGCACACACCTTGAGTACCTTGGATTTACACTAATGTTCCATTCCAGTAAAGCTGTTCCATGCATCATTTTTCACATTCCATGTGCATGCTGGTGCCTCCACAGTCTTCCCAGCCTGGACTGTCTTCCTGTTCTTATGTTAAGTCTAACTCTTTCTATAAGAGTTTGCTCCACCCTCCTTTGGAAGGCTTCCCAAGCCCTAATGCTCTATAATCATCCTTCCTTCCACCTACTTCTGCTCTGAGCACTGCTTGAGAGTGACTAAAAAACAAATGATTGCATTCATTGTAGCTAACAGCTCCAAAGTTTTGTGCTCCTAGATAAATGCCAGGGCTGCACACATGTTCCCATGGATTTTTTTTTTTTTTTGGGTCTGGTCGTGGGGTCTGAACTCTGGGCCTGGGCGCTGTCCCTCAGCTCTTCAGCTCAAGGCTAGCACTCTACTAGCACTCTACCACTTGAGCCACAGCGTCACTTCCGTCTTTTTTCTTTTTTGCTTATGTGGTGCTGAGGAATCGAACCCAGGGCCTCAGGCATGCAAGGCAAGCGCTCTACCACTGAGCCACCCTCCCAGCCCCCTCCCAAGGATTTTCTATAAGGAACTGGCCATGAGAAAGTATGAACCCTTAGGTTTCATCTTGTGCCTTGTGTCTTGGTATGTTGAGATAATGGCACCATCTGTAGTTTCAAAGTCGCTATGAGTTTACAGTTGCTGAAACAAATGTTAATTATGTGAAGACTTATTTAAAATACTATCCTCTCTATTATGCACATACTTGAAACTTTCCATTATATGAAAATTTCCACAATCAAATAGTGAACTGGCTTTTGTTTTTTGTTTTTTATTAAGAAGTCAATGTTTAACTTTGGTAACATCATTTGACTTTAGGAAACAAAGTGAACAGTAATGATGACAAATGATGAGTTCCATTCCCGGGTGGGTAAGGAAGTGAAGGGAGACTCGAGCATTCTACTGGAAATTTCTAGGGCCAGAAGGTGAGGTGGTATTTGCCTGGCACACGCTTGGTAGCTGGAAAAAGCTAAGCACAGAAGCTTGCCCAAGTGTCCCCAGTACTACCATCCTTCCCTCTGCAAACTTGGGTGGTGAAATGTTCGTATTTATGCAAGAGCCCTTCATGGCTGCCCCAGTGGGGAATGAGCAGAACGCATTCCTTTTTGACAGAGGACTTTCTGTCCCTGGCACACAGGGAATGAAACCCCTTCTCCTTAAACGTGGGCAGTTTTCCCTCCCTCGGAAGCCGCTGTCATCTCTCGGCTTTGAAGAACTCAGCTGTGTTCTCACCAAGGCCAGCTGCAAGGTGAGCACTGTGGAGCCGGGCACCGGTGGCTCACGCCTGTAATTCTAGCTGCTAAGGAAGCTGAGATCTGAGAATCATGGTTTAAAGCCAGCCCGGGCAGGAAAGTCCGTGAGACTCTTATCTCCAATAACCCACCAGAAAACTGGAAGTGGCACTGTGGCTCAAATGGTAGAGTACTAACCTTGAGCTGAAGAGCTGAGGGATAGCGCCCAGGCCTAGAGTTCAAGCCCCATGACCACCACCACCACCACCACCACCACCAACAACAACAAAAAGAGCACTGTGCCTTTCAGGGCAGGTTCTACAGTGATGTGCAAAAATGCTCTTTCTAAATCAGTCTCCCTGTGCCTGTTTTCTCCTTAGCAATTTTCTAAGTATGTCCTAAGAAATGAGAGCAGAATTCAGGTAACTGGATAGGAAAAGCAATCAAATAAATCAGAATAAATATTATCATACTTTAATACCATATGGAGCACACCCAGACCTGATTGGGGACCAAGGAGACACTAAGGCCCGGAGGCTTTTCCAGACCCTTTGCCTTCAGTCATGTCAGTTCTCAATATCATTTAATCAAGCCCAGGGACATCAGTCAGCAATAAAGGGAAAAACAGAGAGTGATGGTGAGAATGATGGAGAAGCCCTGGGAGTCTCTGGTTGCCAGTTCTAAAGTCTCAAGGCTTTACGTGTGTCCTTACCCTGGAGGGAGAGGCCGCTCCCAGGTGGTTGTCTTTGTATTGTGATCAACATAATAGACACGCCCATTGGGTAGCTCTCGCTGCTCCCACCTGGAAGATAAAGCCAAGGATGATGAATGAGATACACAGTTCCAAGGTATAGCTTCTGTTAGAAAGGCAGTCCTTAACTACAGGTGTGAAAAATTTTCAGGAAACACCAAATATGAGGTTCAAAGTCAACCCACTGGTCACACCAGTTCCATGTTATCACTTAAGGTAGCATCCAGGTATGCTTGTGTCATTTTGTTTTGTGAGACAGGATTTTACTATGCATAAATAGCCCAGGCTAGCGTCAAACTGGCCATACTTCTGCCTCTGCCCTTCAAATGGTAAGGTTTATTGGCATGTGTCACCAGGCCTATCCATGAGTTGTTGAGGAGACTACAGTAACCACCCTTTATGTGTGTCCCTACACAGACGATTGCAATGTACCTTGTAAAGTCTAAATTTATAATGCCACACCTGTTCTTCTAACACTATATATATTTATAGCCATATTTCCTTTTAAAATAATTCACTAGAAGATGTCCTTACTTTTCATTTTTTAGTCATGCTAGGGATGGAACCCTATGTACCATGCTAGTCAAGTACTTACTACTGAGCTGAAACTCGCCAGTCCTAACAGGGATTCTTTTTTTTTAAGAGATCTGAATGGATCCAAAAACATGACATACAATTATTTACAGACTGAGGTTCAGTTTGGATGCAAGTTACTGCTACCAGGGTGCTGAGGTGAGGTGATTCATCTGTGCTAACGGAAGGATGACAATGTTAACACATGATGCAGAGACCCCATGAGCAGGAAATACAAATCAGCCTAGTGTCATCCCTGTACCCCTGCCACTCATACACAGTCTGACCACTCCACTTACCTACAGTACAGCCTACAATTAAACCTACAATATGGTAACATATATAAAGGATACAAAAACTTTATATAATACCTACCACTTTATAAAAAAAATGTTAATGATCCAGGAGCCTCTAAGTTTCGATTTCCTCTACATTTGGGTGTTGCTTAGGGGAAGACAGCACCTTTTCAGAGAAACTACTATATATTCTGTTGTGCTGAGGTGCTTGTTTTGAAAACGTCTATTTGTTTGGGCTGAGTACAGCTTTGCAGTAAATGATTTTGCTGCTTCAATTAGTTTCCCTTCCTACCCCCACCCTGCTTGAAATAAAAAATAAAAATAAGAAAATGTGAATCTGTTCCAGAAAACGATGTGAGCAAAATGTACGAAGACATGACTGTATCTGTAATAAACACTAGATGAACATAGAAAATTTCCTAAGCAAACCTGGCCATAAATACTATATAAAACCTACAGACACATACAAGCTATCTCAGTTTACCACATTATCTGCCTAACTATCTATACCTAGTCTTCTATTTCCTGTCTGATTTCAGCTAACCTTCTATGGCCTACTTGATATACACACCCATAAGTCCCACTCCTTGCAATATCTGCTCGCACAAGCAGTTTACTCCAAGACAAGAGCCCTATTGACTGTGATGTTACATCATTAAATTATTTAACATGTGGGAAATTATTGTATTGGTAAGTTCCTAGCTCTTTTGCATGTCACTGACAAATTCTGTGTATGCCTGGAACTCATTTTTCCTCCATAAGCCCTTTGGTGTTTATTATACAATTTCTGCATAGTGTGGTAACTTGTAACCCTATTTACACTATAGCAGATCTGACTGCATGCCAAAATGTATCGTAACTTCTACTATTACACCTACAGTAGGTGTAATAGTAAAGGTAAAAACAAAATAAAAACAAAAGGAGGCTCAAGTAGTATATATTTCTTAGTATGTACAAGGCCCTGGGTTCAATCCCTAGTATGGGGAGAAAAGGAGGAAAGAAGGAAGGAAAGCAAGAAGACAGGGGAGGGGGAGGGAGTTGGGAGGGGAGGGAGGAAAGGAAGGAAAAGAAAAAGGAAGGGAAAGGATATTTACTTTTTACTCCATTCACATTTGACACAAGAGGAAATTTTTGTTTTATTATATTTTGCCTAATTTTTAAATTGGAAAATAGAAGAATACTTCAAATTCCATGCATTGCTGCAAACAAAATTGAGTTAACTCCTCCTCTCTTATCATCTATGATTTCGGTGGCTCTTTTGAGCCCAGGCCCAGATGAGATCTGCCCTTCCCATCTTTGATCACAGCTGATCCTAGAAATGAAAGTCTCTCTTTCAGGGACTGTTATTGTCCAGCAAGACTCCATGTCCTTCTACAAACCCTCTCAACTGGCTTAGCTAGAAAATAGTTATTACCAGAGGAACAAGACCTTTCTTGCACAGCCTCTTTTCATATCTACATTTTTCCTTTTAAATTGGACTCCTGCTCAGATTAAATGTCCGTGTGGGTCCTCCCTGATCCCTGACCTGGTCTACCTCCCTTTCTTAAGAGAACTCTCACTCCTCCCTAACCTGCACAGCTATTCAGGAGTCACACAAATCTCTTCCCTTCATTCATGCAGCACAGTCAGTCACTTCTATTGCCAGCCACATGAGTCTCCCGCTTTTGCTGACCCACATAGATTAAGCCTCCCGACTCTCTTGGTATGGTCTCCCCTTGCCAAGAAAATGATACTGGCATTGACTTTTCATCAGCACATCCCTGTCAGGGGTTAAGTTCTGTCCCTTGCAAGCTTCTTCTTCACACAGAGATGAAAAGGCTTTTCAATCCAACTGCCCATGGGTCTCCCTCAATGCTGCATCTTGGACACGTGGGCCATATCTGCTCTGGCTGAATAGCTTTCTTTGATGCTCTCAGAAACAGTGTTCAAAGAACTGAATGGCTCCTTGGCCTTCAGTGAGTAGAGTTGACTGTGGACTGCACAGGGTATTTGTGCTGGAAAGCACTTAACAGGAGTCTCGGTTACAACTAATCTCAGGTAATTTTTCTTTTACCTAGATTACCATTACTCCTACAGGTGCCCTTTAGACGGTTATACCTTCTGCCCATACACCTTAAACTTCCCACACTCACCATCACCAAAAGGTCAAACACTAAAAGAACTGAATCCTATTAAGATGATGGCAACCATCTCTCTCCTGTATTATCTGAAAAGACTTTGTCTGGTCACTGGAACCATATTTTTTTTTGTAGGTTTCCTAAAAGATCTCTATTATCTCCCATTAAATGTGCATTCAACCATCTCAATCAATCAATGTCTTAGATTTCCCTGTGTGTAGACAGAATCACAGTTTTACACAAAGTAGTAGCAATTTTACCCAATTTTTTGGGGAGGGGTTAACGCTGGAAAAGGAATATCAGTATTAAAGAAGTTTTCCTGAAATGACCCTAACAAATTTATATCTCAAGGTTCAAGTGGTAGAGTGCCTGTCTAGCAAGCATGAGGTTCTAAGTTCATACCCCAGTACCACCAAACCAAGAAGGAACAAAGAAAAAGAAGATATACATAATAAAATGCTCAAAAATTCTCTTAGTAAGTGCGTTATTAATTTGTATTAGTCATTAGTTTGCTCAGTTCTCATTAACGCAGGCACTGGGCAGTAGTAAAGCTCTCAAGCAAAATACACTTTCTCCATTAGAAAATAAAGTCATGCCAGAACCTTTATATACCCTAGAGAAATGATATCTTGCTGGGGTTGGACAAAAGATGAACTTCAGAAGAGTATTCAAGTTTTCCTAAAACTGCTTATGCAGAAAGTTAATTCCCCACAGGCAAAACAACATAAAACTTGTGTTTTCTTTTTTTAAATAATATATATATATATATATATATATTTTTTTTTTTTTTTTTTGTCGGTCGTGGGGCTTGAACTCTGGGCCTGGGCGCTGTCCCTCAGCTCTTCAGCTCAAGGCGAGCGCTCTACCACTTGAGCTACAGCACCACTTCCGGTTTTCTGGTGGTTTATTGGAGATAGGAGTCTCAAGGTCTCTCCTGCCCAGACTGGCTTTGAACCGCGATCCTCAGATCTCAGCTTCCTGAGTAGCTAGGATTACAGGCGTGAGCCACCAGCGCCAAGCTAATAAAATATATTTTATTATGGATGCTTTACCAACAAATCCTACCCCCTACAAACTCTGGCCACTTCCGGGGTGAAACATAAGATTTATATCCTGTGAAGGGATGTTTTTAGCCTGTTTTATGAGTCAGAAACCTGTGTGCAGTGGCACATACCTCTTGCTCACAGCTTTCACGGCTTTAGGAGATCCTTTGTCAACTGAGTAGGAAATGTTTTAAACTGCATCCTTCCCCACAAGGGCCTTTTCTAAAATACTGAACTAGCCTTTAATAACGATCAACAACCAGTGCTTTATGCTCTCTAAGCTCAGGATATCAGAGTACCAGCTACTGAGGCTCCTGACTTAAGTCTGGTTTTCTTCTCCTTTTCCTTAAGTCATTCCATTTTCTCTGATTTGGAAAAATGCCCAAAGCTCTTCAATGGAAGTTGGAAACACTCAAAATATGTTTTCAAGACAATTCTTGGACAAGGTGTCCATGAAAACAATTTTTTTCACATTTACTTTCATATAAAAAGTTGGAAATGTAGAGTCTGAAAACAGTTAATGGGAGCCAGAAAAGGGTCTTCTCTTTCTAAAGAGCAATTTGGCAAGAAGGTCTTCTCTGTATGAATGTACTTTAGCACATCAACTTTTCCTTCTAGAATATAGCCTAAAGAAATAATTATGTGTCAGAAATTGAACTGTACGCATATATATCATATCACACTATAAATGCTGTAAGCAAACTGAAGCAATCTAAAGTTGATCAAAGAAATGACGTTACTTCCACAGCAGTTATTCATTATTTGAAAATAAAATTGTAGATGACTATTGATTTCTAATTTTTACAATACATTGAGTAGAAAAGCTATTTAGTAAATGACATATTTAAAATAACTTAAGTTGTGTGTAAATTAAATATGTATGCTTTTCTCATTAAATCTAAAATGTCACTGGTTATATGAGTATTTAAAAGGACACTGTCAACTAAACAATGGTATGCCAATGCTCATACACTGCACCATGATTTTAAAGAAGTGAAATAAGATACATAACAAATCAATAA